TGCAGACTGTTGAGGTGTAGGAAAGCTCTAGCTGCTAATCGTCTACGGATAGACGTCTCACGGGACTCGACTACTGAAATCTGTACCATGGTGACGTTTAAAGGGCTGCGCATGGTGCGTGTTCGACCTGAACTGGTCACTTTTTAGGAAAGTTTTAGTTCTGATTCACTATAGATCAAAACTGACAGAACTTCTCTGCTTATGACATAAAAGTTCCTGAGGGCACCTAAGCATTCTTTCCATGCCGTGCGCAGAACCTACGAAATGTCAGTGATGGTGAATTTTTGGAGAGGTACTGTTCAATACAAAAAACTCATAGCTCTTTACTAAATTTAATTATGATCTCAGCAGGCAAACGAAATTTGGGAATAATATCTGTAGACTACTCTTGACTTGTTAGACTGCTGTAGCTTGAAATATGACGCGATTATTGCAACTTTTATTGGTAGGCGTAACACAAACTACTGAAAATGTGGACACGGTTGAAAACGGTTTTTTTTAAAATACGCCATATAGAGCAAAACCATTCAACGAACTTATCTAAAATTAATTTGAAACAAATTCCTTTTGGCTTCCAAATAGTATGTTCAAACCTGAAAAGCAAAACTTAAGTATGGAGGAAGATATTTACAAAACAAGTTATACCGTTTTTTTTCACCCTGTACTTTCATTTCAACTTTCAGCCCCCCCCCCCCCCCGACTCTTTCTACTACTACTCCAGTCTCCTTCTTACTGCTATCTTTCAGCCATACCCCTGATCATAGAGTAGGCTAGGTCGAACACCAGGCTTTCTTGGATAAGAGCGAACAAAATCTCGGAGGTCCAGTGCGTGGGCTTATTGCGCACGTTAAACTAACATCTGCGTTTTTGTTGCCATTTTTTTTGGAGTTTCCATAAGAGCTGCCATTAATTTTCAAGCTTTCAACTCTGTGTGATGACGTATATATAGCAACATGTTGATAGGGGTAAGAATCTAAAGCACCAGAATTTCTTGTGCTCTGTTTTAAGCATCCAGAATATAATTTGTAGCTACACAGAGTGAAAAAACGTGAAAAATAGAGATTTCACAACAGAATGAAATCAAATTAGAACAGTACATATTTATACAACCACAAAAATTAACAAATAAGGGCGTGTGTTCTCCTATCCATAGATTGGCCGTTTTAACCCTAAGAGTGTTTAATTCAAGAAAAAGTACAGGATATTTCAAGAAAATTATGGAATCACACACAAGCGGCCTGCCAGTGTCAGTAATCGGTTTTGGTGGAGACACGCTCGAACATAACACATTTATATAAATTTTAAAAGGAAAGGAACAACATCAAATTAAATTACATTACGCTATATAAACACAAAATCTTTAAAAGAAAAACAACACATCAAAACAATAAGAAAAAAATTAACACACCAGCAAATTTAAAGCACAATAAAGATGGGAAAATAAAAGACACACAGCAATATCAAAAGTACGTAATGTTCTTATATTCTTCGCATGAAAATAACTATATATGGACACCTTAACATTATCAAAATATGTGTCTAATAAGTAATAGGTTATGAAGTAGGCTTTTCCCCCAGAAAATTACCAATAATCGCGGCCGCGATTCGCGGACCCAAAACAAATGCCAAAAACCGCGGCCGAGATTCGCGGGTCGCGTCCGCGACAAACGCAGATGCTAGGTTAAAGATCCCGTGGTCTCCTAGAATCAATAAGAGTAGGTAGACTACAGCTGCCACCTGGGCAAAATTCAAAATTAATTTTTACCAAAACTCAAAATGCCGTAACATGAGAAACCAACTAACTTGTTTCCCGTGCGTTCATATGCCCTTATGCCATAGCGGGCGCTGCAAAACTTTTCCCAAAGCAAAGAACTCGGGTCTCTTGCGTGCAAGGACGGAGCGCACAACCCTTACACTATAGACGCCGGTGCAATGTGAAGGATCCAACGAAAAACGTTTATAAGGGTCGTTTGAAGTTTCTGAGAATCATCCCATCGCAGATTTCGGAAAGATTGAAAAAAAAAATCACAATAAACCTTTCGTCCCCTTTCATTACTTCAGCATGAGAAAGCCTATAACTTTTCAGAGGGACTAAAACGATAATTACCTGAGTTGACTTTTGTTTCGCTAGATCGGATTGCTATTATAATTACCTGGCAGCAGGGCTGCTCAAATGTAAATAAACTGTTCATGTTTTTTACCTAGGCTGCTTCAATTCACATATCAATTATTAGAAAACAATATATTGTATACAATTTTTTTAACAATTGAGATCTTATTTTCTTCTTGAAGCTTGTTATTATATCAAATCTCCCCCCCCCCCTCCAACAGAAGCTTAATAGGATAATGAAACTGAAGTAAATTTAGAAGCAACAGCTGCACTTTAAATACTTTTGACTTCTTGTTTACTTCTAGTAATAGAGTTGTGAACAATTTTAACAGGAATGAACTTGAGCAGGGGACTGATCTCCTTCCAATAGTTTTTGTCGAGTTTTCATCGCAAGTTACACGACACATTTCTTCTCTGTCAGCATTTCCGAACTGACAAAATTTCATAAACAAATTCTTGACTGCGATAATTATGACGTGTACTGCTAATGAATTTAAAAGTGTGTGAAAGAGGTGACTAGTAGTGGACCTATTTCTCCTCACGAGTCCATTGTGGTTGATTCATAACATCATAATCAGATCGCAAAGAAGCACTGTTGTATTTTGAGTGGAACGCATTAGGAACGTTAGTGAAAGTGTCTTTACGTGTGTTTGGGTCCCAGTGGTAGGGGGGATTTTCCAGCGTAGTCACAATATGTTTTTGTGGTCAGATGTATCGTCCAGCTCTTCAACTTATTGCAGAATACCACAGACTAAGCTGTTGTTTCCTTCCGTTGCCAAAACTGTCACATTTGTTTCTGTAAGTGACCACCCCATACCATCCCAAGTGTGTGTCTGTGTGTGTGTGTGGGGGGGGGGGGGGGGGCTTTAATTTTAAGGCTAGCCTAAATAAAATCCACAGCATAGTCGGTTAAAACAGCCAATGGATATGGCAAGGTGATCCATTATCTTCTAATCAGACTGGGTGTCAATATAAATCAGAATCCTGATTAGCTCTGTGTCAATGTAAGTGTAAGCCCCTCAAATCCGAAGATCAAGGCCCCAGATTCTCTTGCTAATTGTTCTTTATTTTCATCGATCCCAAGTAGATGCACTCTTATACGCCCCCCCCCCCTTAAAAAACATAAAAAAGAATTATACAGCGCCTCCCCCTAAAAAAAACCCCAACAAAACAAACAAACAACAACAACAAAACAAAACAAAAACAAACAAAGCAACAACAACAATCAAACAAACAACCCTTACGAAACTCACCAACTTTTTCAATGCGTAAGCAACACGCGTGACGACAAACAAGGTTAAGTTGAGAAATATTATTATCATTCTTGAGCCAGTATCTATTGACAGGTCTCCCATTGTGCGCACTATTACGCGACTAGAGAGCGAACTCTCCCGTGTGGTTCTCGGGACCCTGTCCAAGAGACAGGGGAGCAAAGAATAGGATCACTGTATCCGTACCGCGCATGTCGTAGAAGGCGACTAAGGTCGGTTGGGCAAAGGGTTAGCAGCCCTTTCCCGTAAAAAAAAAAGCAGCTACAAAAACATCAACAGCAAAAACAACACGACTGCCAGTTCTGGAAGATGGACCACCAGGACCCTCATCACCGAGGAGAAGAGAGAGAAATTGAAAAAGCGGGGACATCATGGAAACAGAAAAGGATGCTCATGACAGGCTTCGCTGGAGTAATGCTGTTGGTGGCCTGTGCTCCACTGGGAGTTAAAAAGGGCAAGAGAGAGAGAGAGAGAGAGAGAGAGAGAGAGAGAGAGAGAGAGAGAGAGAAAGAGAGAGAGAGAGATAGAGAGAGAGAGAACTGAAACGACACTGTTATTTTTTGTCCTCTTCTCATTTATGTGTTTGATGGTAAGTGTTTAACGGCATTCGCAACTTCACGCGGGAGTTGGTAGGAAATTTGAATTTTGCCCAGACGGCGGCCGAAGCCTACTTTTATTGATTTTGGACCACCAAAGGATCTTATACGTGCGCAACTTGCACACGGGCTCTCCGAGACTTTTCGCCATTTCTGAAGGCTTTCTTCTTGTAGTGTATTTTAAAACTTAAAAAATGACCATGTGTCCAGTTTTCTCTCGGCCCTCACCCACCCCCGTCTCTCTCTCTCTCTCTCTCTCTCTCTCTCTCTCTCTCTCTCTCTCTCTCTCTCTCTCTCTCTCTCTCTCTCTCTCTCTCTCGTTAAGATAAATACTAATTTCTTTTTGTTAAAGCCATGACCCTACCCTTGTTCCTATATCCCGCGCACACTCGCTCCCTACTCTCGAGAGGATAAACAATTCGCCCACCCTTTCTCTCCTGCATGAAGGATAAGGCATGACATAATTATTCCTTGGTCATTGTTCTTTTGAGGAAATAGGCCTGAACTGAATCAGTTAATAGACTGCTTTTCTTGTCATTGTTGATGACCTCATATTGTTAGAGGGTGTTCATCACCTCTTCATTGGATTTTTTTTCATTTTATTATATTCTCAAGTCCCAAAGGAAACTATGTAATAATAGTAATAATAATAATAATAATATATATATGCCTATATACATATATATATATATATATATATATGTGTGTATATGTATGTATAAATACACACACACACACACATATTTATTGCATTAAAGATGTTTAAAATGAAGAAGGGTGTTAACATTGTTCGCCAGAGCTTTCAGGTAAGGGAAAAAGTAAATCGATAGGGTAGCAGAACTACCAGTTGATCATCTTGACTGCATCTGATTTTGAATAGGTGGAGAGGGAGGGAAGTCGTTTTCTGGATATACTTAGAGCGATTTTCTCCAGGTGCTTAACCAAAGTTTTGATCAAACTATTTTCTTGTGTAAGCACAGCATGTGACTTTTGTTGTTTCTGTTCACAGTTGCCCCAAAACGTCCCTTTTTATGACAGTTCTCCTGGCTACAGCAACAGTAGTGCTTCTGGGTATATACTCTCAACAGTTGTTGTGGCTACCGACCAAAAGATACTACTCCACTCCATGGGTACCAAAGAGTTCTCTGCAAATGTCGGAAGCCACTGTCTCGGTTACCGCATCTCCTACAATGTCCGAACGGATGAGAACTGGCTTGTTTAGCGGTAACAAGTCGAGCGAACCAAACGTCCCCAGTACATTGAACAAGAATAGGGAGAAAGAAATTCAGCACGTAGTGTTTGTTAAAGTTCACAAGGCAGCAAGTACAACCATGCACAACATTTTAATGCGTTATGCAATCAAACATGAGCTAAATGTGCTGCTACCAAAAGCGGGCTTACATATCAATCAAAATGGCCATCAAATTCCGGATGATAATTTATCTCCCATTCCAGCTGGGTCGAAGTATGACATTTTAAGCAATCATCTTATCTTTGATCACGACGAGGTTTCGTCATTCTTTCCAGCAGATACTTTTTATGTTGGAATCATTCGGGAACCATTTAGTCAATTCTTATCGGCATTCGTTTATTATAGTCAAATCTGGAGACACCAAAATCTGCTCAATGTCATTAAGGATTACCCTGACAATCCGATTGAGGCTTTTATTCAGTATAGTGGGCGATACATAGGTGATACTAAGCCCAACACTGTGTATGTCAACAATCGAATGAGTGTGGATTTTGGATTTCCACTTGAGAATTTCGAGGCATCCAAACGGAACCACACAAAAATTGAATCTTTTCTTCAGCAAATAGACGCCATTTTTGATGTAGTCCTTATTGCAGAGATGTTCGATGAGTCTCTTGTGTTGCTTCGCCGTATGCTCGGTTGGACAACGAAAGATATTATTTATATGGATAAAAATGTTTTCTCAGGTCAGCATGCTAAACCTTCCTGGATTCAAAAGCGTGACTACTCTGCTCATATAAAACATTTGTTTGAAAACTACGCGGCAATTGACATCGCTCTCTATGACTATTTTCTGAATAGATTCGAACAAAAGCTCGATCAGCAACCAAAAGACTTCTACGCTGAAGTAGAAGCCTTTAAGAAATTAAAGCTCAAAATAACGTCATACTGTACGATCATGGACAATAGAACTCACCCCTTCGAGTCTCTTCACTTTCCAGCTTCAGAACAGTTGAACGAATTTACCTTGACGCCAAGTGACTGTGTTCTGATGAAGTTAGAAGAACGCCAGATAACTATGAAAACTCGGCAGGTTCAGGAAGAACGATTTTTAAAAATGGGCAAACCTCGTCAGAAATTCTGGAATAGACCAATGCAGCCAAGGTGATAGATGATATACAGGTGTTCGTGCCTGTTCTAGAGTGTATAAGTGACTGAGTAAGAGAGACAGGCAGAGAGACAGAGAGGGACAGAGACAGACACACACACACACACACACACACACACACACACACACACACACAGAGAGAGAGAGAGAGAGAGAGAGAGAGAGAGAGAGAGAGAGAGAGAGAGAGAGAGAGAAGGGGGGGGGGGAGGGGAGAAAAAAGGGAACGAGAGAGGGGTTGTAACAGCGGTGAGTGAATTGGTGTGAAAGTGAAATAATGAGGTGAGTATACGTGAGTGTGTATGTGTATGGAGGAGGGAGCGGGGGGAGTCTAGGTGTTGGTTGTCAAAGAAAAAGGACAAAAGTGTGTTTTCCACGGACTCAGGAATTTACGGGAACAGAACCGTTCCTTCTCAAATCCGGGGCGTGAGGATCCATTGTAACAAGAAGAAGTTCTCCACTATTTGATTTTCCAGCCGCGTACATCAGTCGGTTTCGGTTTGGATTTATTAATGTTTTCATTTTCTTTTACGGATGACACAAGGATTGGAGTAAGTGAATAGGGACGTCCATATGTTGTGTGCGAGTCAAACTTGAAAGTGTAGAGTGCAACTACACCTCTCGAACATTCGGATTGCATAATATTAATATGAACAGTCACAAGGACATTTTAGCAGAAAAGTATACCATCAGCAAGCTGTTTAACCGTTTTAAGCACAGAAAGCAATTTTTTTTCAAGAAAAAGGAGAAAACACCCGGTTAATTATTGCAAGGACTGTAATTACAATATAATGCTTTTGTTATTGGGTGCATTAAAAAAAAATCGTTCAGAATTTTAATTTCTCCCAAATATTTCTCAGGCATATGTTACCGATACTTCCGATAAGAAAAACTACAATAAATTCTAGGCTGGGTACATTTGGAGTTGATCGTAGTATATCAAAACATATTATTATGATTAGTTGGTGGACTACGACATTCAACACAATATCTAATGCAATACAGTCGACTACGGGTAAGTTGATGTCGTTGGAGCGAAAAAAGATCACCTCATCCGAAGTTCAACTAAACCGTTGGGACCCAAGTAGAAGGAGAGGTGCTGGGACCAGAGTAAAAAGGTCATCTTAACGGCGAAGAAAAAACTCAGGCGAGTTCGACCTGAGTGGAGTCTACTGTAATCACCTCTCATTGCATTCCTGGGTTTTACAACTCCTTGTGTGTGTGTGTGTGTGTGTGTGTGTGTGTGTGTGTGTGTGTGTGTGTGTGTGTGTGTGTATATATATATATATATATATGTGTGTGTGTGTGTGTGTGTGTGTGTGTGTGTGTGTGTATGTGTGTGTGTGTGTGTGTGTGTGTGTGTGTGTGTGAGTGACTTCTACGTTTATATGAGCCATTTTTTCCAGTTACTTTGGTTTATGTAAAGGGCCTAGACATGTGAGCACACAGGAGTAGGTGTTATAAAAATGCACTTCATCCTTATTATTATTATTATTATTATTATTATTATTATTATTATTATTATTATTATTATTATTATTATTATTATTATTATTATTATTATTATTATTATTATTATTATTATTATTATCATTTAATGGAAGCAGACTCAGCGAAGAGGGAGAGTATACTGTATCATGTGTTATACACGTGTTGTTTGTCGTGGAGCGCTGCTTAAAAAAAGGAGCATTGTGAGAGAGTCAGTATCATAACAGCACTATTCTCTTTCTTTGGATGTAATTTACTTTAAATTAAGAGCAAAACTGTGGTGCCCAACAGTTTAAAGGTAATATAAAGTTAAGAAGGGATATTTACCCACCCTTCCCCTTTCCCGTCCCTTTTCTGAATTGTAGTCATATTCCTTATGGTCAGTCACACTTCCTCCCCACCAGGTCAAAAATTCCTGGCGCAACCAATCCTCAAATCTTTATCACGGGTAAATCAATGTCACTCATATAGAAAAATTTTCCGGAATGGGTCGACCAGGTGTTACAAAAACACCACTGATCTGTTGAAATAGATTGATACAAATTGCTGCGCAAAAATTTGTGTCTTTAATCGATAGCTGGGGGGGGGGGGGGGGGGGGGGGTATTGGACGACAATAATTTGCTCCACGAGTTTTTGACCTCACTTTTAATACCCCTCACCCATAACTCGTTTCACATTTTACAAAATGAAAGCTCTATCTTCCCATTAGTGTTTAGTAAGCAAGCGAGACGCCCCTTGCAGCTGTGAAGAAACTCGTTGTCACACAACAACTCTGATGTAGTGTTCAGGCTCTTTGCCACGGCAGACAGAAGATTAGGGTTCTATTCTCGTGAAGGCACGGAATTGGGGAATTTTTCATTTTTATCAGGTAACTCTAATTCAACTGTGTGTCTGCTGGCTCGCTGTATGGGAGGACATCAGAGTTGCGCACTTTCGAGAAGAAACTATCGAAGCCGCGCACTTTTTTTTACGACATCAATACAATCAGATGGCTGATTACCAAAACCAGTACCATCAATGATTGTACATAACAAGATAGTTCACTCAGCCAAAAAATTGTCCGCGGAAGTCCGTGCAGTAGTTCAGATGGCGCTGCAGTCTTTATTTTGAAGCTCTCTTTAGTTTCTCCACCAGAGAGAATAGGAATAGCACAGTTTGTTAGTTTCACTTTTATTGTTTTTCACACATGTAGGGTAACTGTGAATCGCAAAGTCCACACTTTTTCGAAGAGGGTGCCTCCGAACTTTGAGGATTTTTAAAATTGGCTCAAAGAGAGGAGTGAACTATCTTGTTATACACGACCTTTGGTACCATCAATGATCGTTCATACGTTCGAATTTTGGTACCATCCAACAATTTAAGTAACCTCAACGTTTTACTGGGCTTGGACCAGATATCAATTACATTTTGTATTATATCAATAGGCATTTCAGGTAACTTTGATTGTCTTATTATGCTGTGGCCATGACACAGCTGATTGGACAAGCTGAGAGGGACTCATTGATTCACTTCTTGAGCAAACTCTTAGTAAGCTTTGGTTGGTTCCTGTAGCATTGAAAATACATGCAAGAAGGTGAAAACTTGAAACTACATGTAAATTAAAAGCTCCTAACTAAATTCCCCGAGTAGAAGAGAACAAGTCGCGATCTTTCGCCTGCTAACACAACACCCCCCCAACCCCCCCCCCCCCCACAAAACCCCCCACAAAAACCCCCAACCCAACCCAGATCTACAGGATCGGGCGATCTTAAAAGAGTTGGGGAGGCATTTTCTTGCACATTCGGGATGAAAATTGAAGTTGTGAGACTTGTTCACCTGCGTACATTTGCTTGTTACACATTCTCTCTTCTTTTTTGGTAGTGTCTTTCTATTTGGGCTGTGTTTTTAGTTTCAGCCTAGAAATGATCTGGAAGTTGCTTGACGTCTGCTGAAAGACGAATATATTATTTGAAAGGGGTCTGTACCAAAGATAGTACATAACAAGACGGGACACTCAGCCAAAAAAAAGTGTCCGCCGGAAGTCCGCTCTTTGCTTCAGATGGCGCTGAAGTCTGTTTTGAAGCTCTTTTTCGTTTCTCCAGAAGAAGAATTGGAACAGCACCTCCTTGCGTGCGCAGATCGACTGCTGTTCATTAGCTGTTTGAGTTCGTTCAGACCTCTCGTCTTTCCTTCTTAAGTCAAATTAAAAGAAGAAAACAGTCACCTTTTCTTCCGGAAGAGGTTTTTAGTCAGCGAAACCTTTTTAAATAAGCGTTCTTCCGAAATTTGAATTCTTATTTATTCAAAAATAAGTTAGTCTCACTTTGATTTTTTAAACACAAGTAGGGTAACTCTGTTTGCAAAGGGTGCGCATTTGCTAAGAGGGCACCACCGAATTTTGAGGACACTTTTTTTTAATTGGCTCAAAGAGAGGAGTGGACCCTCTTGTTATGTAGACTCTTTGATGAGACCAAAGATAGTAAATAACAAGATGGGCCACTCAGCCAAAAAAGTGTCCGCAGGAAGTTCGCTCTTTGCTTCAGATGGCGCTGCAGTCTGTTTTGAAGCTCTCTTTCGTTTTTCCAGAAGAAGAATAGGAATAGCACCTCCTTGCGTGCGCAGATCGACTGCTGTTCATCAGCAGTTCGGGTCCGTTCAGTGCGGAGTTTTAGTTTTTTATGTTATTTTAATGACCTCTCGCCTTTCATTCTAAAGTCAAATTAAACGAAGAAAACAATCACCCTTTCCTCCGGAAGAGGTTTTTGTCAACGTAACCATTTAAAAAAATGCATTCTTCCGAAATTTATTAAAAAACTTGCTAGTTTCACTTTGATTTTTTAAACTCAAGTAGGGTAACTCTGTTCGCAAAGTGTGCGCATTTGTGAAGAGGGCGCCACCGAATTTTGAGGACACTTTTTTAATTGGCTCAAAGAGAGAAGTGGCCCCTCTTGTTATGTAGACTCTTTGATGAGACCAATGATAGTAAATAACAAGATGGGCCACTCAGCCAAAAAAGTGTCCGCAGGAAGTATGCTCTTTGCTTCAGATGGCGCTGCAGTCTGTTTTGAAGCTCTCTTTCGTTTTTCCAGAAGAAGAATAGGAATAGCACCTCCTTGCGTGCGCAGATCGACTGCTGTTCATCAGCAGTTCGGGTCCGTTCAGTGCGGAGTTTTAGTTTTTATTTTATTTTAATGACCTCTCGCCTTTCATTCTAAAGTCAAATTAAACGAAGAAAAACATCACCCTTTCCTCCGGAAGAGGTTTTTTGTCAGCGTAGCCATTTTTAAAAAGCGTTCTTCCGAAATTTATCCCAAAACTTGCTAGTTTCACTTTGATTTTTTAAACTCAAGTAGGGTAACTCTGTTCGCAAAAGGTGCGCTTTTGTGAAGAGGGCGCCACCAAATTTTGAGGACACTTTTTTAATTGGCTCAAAGAGAGAAGTGGCCCATCTTGTTATGTACTATCATTGATGAGACTAAAGGTTGGGGTGTAATCGGCAATCTAATTGTATCGATATCGTCAAAAAGTGCCCTGCTCTAATAGTGCACAGCTTTGATAAAAATTTTTATCGAAAATTCGCGGAACTGATAGTTTCCCCGCTGTAGTAGATCTATT